GGCGGCCGTTGGTGGCCGGCAGAGGGCGCGCGGGGCCCGGCCGGGGGTGGGGGGGCGCCCCCCACTCCTCTCCCCTCAGGCGGGACCCCGGCTGTGGTGGGTTCTGTGACCGGCGCTCCGGCCCCCGAAATACCCCGCTGGAGTGGAAACGCCGGCCCTACCCGTACGCGAATGGTGGAGGTTTGTTGGTGGGATTGTTTCCCCTCGCCCTCCCCCCGTTTTTCCTTCTCCTAATTCCTACTTCTGTGGAGTGTTTATTCGTGCCAGTCACACCCGCCCGGCAGCCCTCCTCCTGCCACCCTGCCAGCAAGCCCGCCGAGCCCCCTCTTACACAGCCACCGCCTGTCCTCACGTCCCCTGCTCTGCCTGTCCTTCCCTCCCCAAGATACCACAAGGGTATGAAGTGGTCTCATCGCGCCCTTACAAAAGGGCTACTTCTCCTGGTTTTTTAACCTTTAAGGAACTACCTTATCTGATTAAATACTAAGATCATGTTCCCTTTTTTTCTTTTTTTTTCTGCTTTATCTACCAGGGCAGACTGTGATTTCTCCTCCTTGAGATCTTCCCAGCCATCGCTGCCTGTGCTTGCCTTGCCCAAGCATCCCCGGCTTATTCTCCCTCAAGGTCACAGCGTCACCAGCAACCTAAGCCCAGCTGCCTCAGCCCTGCTGGGGACCCCTTGACGACATCGGTGTTGCTCTGTACATTGCTGCCTACAGAGCTCATAATAATCCCTACAGGGAGCTAATACTCTCAGGCCTTCCGTGGCAACACCTCCCTGGTGAGAGGTCTTGCTGAGGACAAAACACTGGCCACAAGTCCCTGCTTGTATGAAGTTAGTTTGGAGGAGTGAATTTTGGTTGTTCTGCTGCTTCATTCAAGGCATGCTCTTCCTCCAGCGTGGTCCTCCCAGTGCGGTGCTACCGGGAAATGTCATTGCCATGCACCACCTTTTTTTGCTTTAAAGTCAATACTTTAGCAATATTTTCCTCAATGATCCAGTTAGCTTTGTTTCCACATGACAAAAAGTGCATTTCAGATTTGTATCCTGCTTACCCGCTGGATGATGGGCTGAGTTGAATAAATGGGACTAATTATGGCCCCTTGTAAGATGAGTCCCTGCCTCTTTATCCCTTCTGCACTGTCAACAGAGCTTCTCCAAGTGCGTCAGTGTGTTTGATCAGAAAATGTTCAATTAATTAAGACGTTGCATGCCTGAGGTTTGACAGCCAACGCAGCATTGTATACAGATACGTGCTTGTTTCCATACATGCCTCTGGCCTATCAGACAGTCTTGCTGACATCTGTCAGTAGGTTGCAATGGGGTTTATAAGCTATAATGTTCACAAAAATGTTAGTTTTCCTTTTGTCTGGGAATTTCTCTGATTACACCACAGTGTCCCATGGAGTATACTTGTTCTTGGGACATTGGTCTACATTACAAACAGCTTTGGTGTTGGGCATGGTTTTTAAGCGCATTGAAAAATGCTTTCTCAAAGTTCAGCATGCAGAAGTTAAATAAACCAGAATAACTGTTTCGAAATTCTTCACTATACATTTCTCATTCAAACATAAATGATATGCTATTTTCTCACTGAGCCCTACTCAAAGCGCGGAATAATTCTGCCCTAAAACCAAATCACTGTGTAATGAAGGGGACCATTTTCTGTGAGGCCTGAATTATACAACTGTAAGGTGGTGGGAGTGTAGGAAGAGGGAGGGAGAACCTTCCCTCCATCATAGAACAGGGATCTGGCCCGGCAGCTGAGTTCTTTCTCCATCACAGTGATTCTGTGCTTGATCAGTCAAACCCAGAGCCCTCTAGGGAGTCATTCACCGTGAGTTTCTCATTGCCTGGCTTGATACCTACTTGCAGAAATGCCAAGCATTGTCAGCTGCAAAGAAAAGGCTTTGGGAGCGGTCTGCTGAACCAAATATCCTGCAATAGTCTATCTGAAAAAAATCAGGTCATTGGCATCAAGCAGGATATTAGTTGATTTATCTGTCGTGGCTCTTCATCTATAAATTGCAAATTATGTTGCGAATTACTTTACCTCTCCAATCCCTTACATCAAAGGATGCTGACATAAAATGATGCTTATGAAGTACTATAGCAAGCACTGTTGAAGAAACGCCAGTGAGGAAATGTGTGCGTGAAATATGGCCCAGGCACACGCATTTAGGAATGGCGGGGAACTTGCTGGCTTTTAAATCAGTAAGCACCATGCATCCTGTGCTTTGAAAGAGGCGGCGTTCAGCTTAAAGACTGCTTTTTTATTACTATTATTATATAAAGCAAAGGAACTAACTAAAGTATGGTTACGGAGTTAAGGTTCTCTGAAGCCTTCTCATCTTTTCTAACTTCTGGGGGCTTTCATCTGCAGCAGCACTGCCTGTAGAGCTCTTGGGTTCAAAGGAATAGCCAGGAACGTTACGCAGCAGCACCTGCACGTTGCCTCAGGATGACAGCTCCTCTGCCGCACACCCTACCGCCAACGGAGCTCAGGCACCTCCGGCCTTCCCAGCCAAAATCCACCTTGTGCGCCTCACCTCCCTGCCCCGTCCCGCCCCGCCGGCGCTCATCGCCCTCTCCTCAGCTCGCCGTCTCCTCACCCCTCCTCAGCGGCGAGCGCGGGACGGCCGGGGAGCCTCAGACCCCGCCGCCGAGGTGCTGACGGCCGCGCTCTCCGGAGCTTTTGTGTTTTAACGCCGCCGCCGCTTACTGTTCCCGGTCGCGGCATCCCGGCCGCCGGTCAGACCCGCCCGGCAGGGGAGAGGGGCCCGGGCGGCCCCGCCACCGCCCAACGGCGGGAAC